TTAGCCTTAAATCAAAGGCCCAACATAGTGTTATAATTATACATGCGCCAAATGAACGAACTAGCCACACTATGATAAAGAGCATCAAAAGAAGGGAGGCCCAAACCACCTTTGCATTTTTTTTTTGGTCTGGTGTTCAAAATATCTACTTGTTTCAGGAAATATGGTTTACGATCTTATTTTTTTGAAAAGGGGTGGAAAGTATTCCAAATGTATGAATTTTGTAAATATTGGTCATTGATATGAATGAAAAGAAATGTGGAATAAAATTTTAAAATAATTGAATGCATAATGTTATTTAATTTTGATGTATTTGAAAATCATCTGATTTGAAATATGTTTAAATATATTGTAAATTTTTATCATAGTCACCACAAACCACCTTCACAAACTCTGTAGTAGGTGGTTGTTGTTGACGCTCTCCAATTACTTTCGGCTCGTCATCACCATACCCCCCATCCGCATAGGACCATCGTTGTTCCTACCCCTTTTCGTTACCCCTTACTTGCATCCCTCATTTTTGCTACCCATCGCCGTCGGTTGCCACCCAATGGCTGGATAAGAATTGGAAGTCTGATTTATAGGAATTTCTTCTATCAAATTTTTCATTGCCTTACATAATTTTGCTATTATTTGAAATATATTATAAATTTTTTAGAATATAAATTATTTTTATGAAACTTTTTTGTTACCATTACTTCCCTCTTTTATTCAAAGATTATCTTATAACATTCATGAGAATTAGGAACATAGACACATCAATAGATATTTAGATATCAGATCAGTAGAGATACCAATTGGCCGGATGAGAATGAATGTCCATTTATTCAGCTTATAAAAATCGGAGTCATAAATGATAATAGACAAGCAAAATAGACCCATATTATAACGGCTCGTAAAGTAGCTATAAAGTTTAATTTTTCCTTAAAATTTATTGGAGAATTTTTTTTTTCTAATATGTTGAAACATACCTTTATCGAAGTGATTGTAACCTATGATATAATTTGATAAAAACTATATCAAATATATATTTGAAATATTTTTGACAGTAGAGAGATAAAAAATAATGTTGGAGTGTATTTAAAAAAAATGTTGGTGAACACTATAATATTTATGATAGTAGAGAGATAAGGAGCTTAATGTCTTAATTTTAAACAAAGTTCCAGCAAATATATAGATAAAGAGTGAGAGGGGTGCAAGAGTTATAGGAGAAATTAATATTTTTATTTGAAAATTTTTGAAAAGGAGAAAAATTATAGGGCTTGGCCTAGTTAAAATGATTCCACTAATGTTTGTAGTCGATTACAAATGGTGCCCTTCCTAGGGGGAAGGCCTTGGCTCACTATATCATATAGAGCACATTTTATAGTTGGGGTTGAAAGAATCCAATGATAGGGAGACAATCTCAAGAGAATGTTGACATGTTCATTTGGTTGGTAGGACTGTATTTGGGTGATGATGTTCGGAGGGATCGTAGCTGGCGGGCGATGGTGATTAGAGGGATCGTAGTCGATGGGTGATGGTGGTTGAATGGACTGTAGTCAATGGATGATGATTGTCGGAGAGACAGTAGTTGGCGGGCGATGGTGGCCGGAGGGATCGTAATTGACGGGTGATGGAGGTTGGGGGATAATACTCAACAAGAACATTGGTCGGAGGGATCCTGGTCGGCTGGCAATGGAGGTTAAAGGGACCGTAGTCGGCGGACGACTGATGTAGGAGTGGTGTTTCGATGGCAATCGTGCGAAGGTCTGATAATGGTCGGTTAAGGGAGGAGGTTCAACGGTCATTGACAGTCAAACGATCTTTTGACCATGGTCGGATGGAAGTCTGGCTATGGTTGGCAACCAGGTGGTAGCCCTAATGATGGTCGACGGTTGGGCGATGGTTCAACAATGGTCGTGTGGAAGTCCGGCGGCCAGGCAGTGGTTCGACGATTGTTAGGCAAAAGTTTGGTGATGTTTGGCGGCTAGGTCGAAGTCTGGACGCGGTCAGAAGGTAGTCTGACGATAGTTGGCGGCCGAGTGAAAGTCTGGCGACAGTCGGTGGCTGGATGATGGTTTGACGTAAGTTAGCGGCCAGGCGGTGGTCCACGATGATCGAGGAAGGTTCGCTGGCGGTGGTGCCTAGGTTGAGCTTTTGATCATTGAAGCTGTAAAGCTCTCTCAAATCTCCAGTCAAATGTCAAAACTCCAAGCCCCCTTTATATGGGAAGTATGGGTCTATTTATAGATTTTTTAGAGTGGTATGCCCTGTAAATATGGAGAAGATTTGAGGCAAATTTGGAATGCTCCATCGGACGATCCATATTGATACCCTCAATCATAAAGCATTTGTCAAGAATTTATGTGCCCAAATAATATTATAATTAAACGATCTTAAGTTCGTTGGATTCGTCTCATCGAGCCGCTCGATTTGATTATAAGTATGCTATATTTGAATATCATTTTATCTTTTAATTTATGCTTTGAACCTTCCAAATGTGGTTTAAGCCCCTGATTTGGACCAATTTGGGCTCGAATTGGTCTGATTTTCGTGTCGTTGGATTTGTTTCTTTGAGACGTTTAGTTTGACTATAACTTTGTTGAAATTGTAGTTCGAAAGGTCCCACTTTAATTTCGAAAGTTTTCAGCTTAAAAATGCCTTGAGATTCATGCTAGATCATAATTTTTGGTGACATATCACGTGTAATATTAATCACTAGTATATTAAATTCATCTTAAAATGTATTAGAAGATTTTAGGGTTTAGTTTAATCAAAATTTTGATTAGAATAAGATGTTATGATTATTTTTGAATGTTCATTACCACTCCACATGTGATTCCATTATTTGGTCTGTTTGATCAACCGACACTAGGGAGAGAAGAAGATAAATTTGTATAGAGAGAATGTCAATTTCAGACTACTTCAGCTGATTTTAGCTATAGACTCATTTATGAATGTTGTCCGGATCTAGGCAGGTTACGTTTTGTTTATCTTATTTTTTAATAATTCGGAATTTACTGATTGAGAGTTATAAATGGCGATTGATCGTGTCATAAGGACAGAAACAAGATCCAAATACCATCATCTGAATATTTGATACTTATCATTGTATTGATACTGACTATTGTTACTGATAATATTATTATTACTATTACTGCTTATTGTTACTGGTTTTAGATAATGTACTGATACTGATATTGATCACTATTACTAATATCGTATTGATACTAATATTTTAGATAATGATTATTGTTATTGATACTATTTTTATAATTGATAGATTGATATGTATAACTGATAGATTGATGTGAACGATTGAATGTTGAGGACAAACTGGTTGATAAATTGATACGATTAACTGACATAGATAACATATATTGATGCATTGATTTCCTTACATGGTTTACAAAAAATTGTTTCTACTTTGTCCTGCATTGAGTTAAGTTGTAAGATTTTAGTTATTTGGTGTGCTTTTATGCTAATTATGTAACTTTCTATGATTTCAAGTAAATGTAAGGAATATGCGGCTTGAGGCTTAGCAATAATGAGAATTTTTATTTTATTTTAAGTTCTTTGGTTTTAAGTACACGCTTCTATAGCCTGTGGTGGCTTGTGCCTATGATTTTGGACAATAGTTGTATACTGCAAATATTAACTATATAAATGTAATGATTTTTTTTTTCTGCTGTTATTTGTTTTTCTTAATGAAATTAATCATGTATGTATGTCATATTAATCTAGTTGTTAATTGAAAGAAAAATAAATAAAATGAGAAGAAAAAAAATAATAAAGGGGAAAATAAATGAAATTCTTTCACTTTAAAATCTTGGGGCGTGACAAGCGGTTGCCAGATGGTTTGGGTTCTTCGATAGTGGTGCCTTGGTGGAGCTGCAGGACCCTTCAGGGCTTAAAGCTGTCTTGAGTCTCTAGCCCAAGGTCCAAGCCTCATCCCAAAAGTCTCTCGCATGTTGAGAGTTGGGTTCTATTTATAGATTTTGAGAGTGACATGCTTCTTAAATTTGCAAAATATCCAGAGTAATTTTGGAGTACTCAATTAGACGGCCCATATTGATTCCCTCAATCATGAAGTATTCGTTCAGCATTTAGATGCCTTAATGAGGTTATATTTAAACGATCTTAGGCTCGTTGGATTCGTCTTATTAAGCCGTTCGATTAAATTATACGCATGTCATATTTGGATATCATTTGTTCATCTAATTAATGGTTTGGAGATTTTAAATATGCTTCCCCATTTGGGCTCGAATTGGACCAATTTTGATGTCATTGGATTTGATTCGTACGTTTAGTTTAACTATAAGTTTGCTTAAATTTGAGTTTAGATATTTCCAAATATGATTTTAGAAGTTTCCCACTTGAATATGCCTCAATATTTGTGCTCAATTAAGTTGACTTTTAGTAACGTAAACATATATTATTTTTAATAATTATTTAAATATTACATTTTTATATTAAATTTCTGAAATCTTTAAATATTATTAGAAATTTAAATATTCTATTAAATAATATATTTAATTTGTTAGGTTGAAAATATAATTTGAAAATTGATTTTCTATAGAAAACCCGATTTGAAATCGGGCTTTTTACTAAGAAAATCAAATTTCATTTTGAGAGCTGCGAGTTTGATCCTTTTTATTATTATTTTTAATTATGTTTCTTGTGCTTAATTCAACATATATGATGATCATTTTAAAAAACTACCTAAAATAAATTGTATTTAGATCTTAAAATTTTAAATTTAATTTAAAATTAGTATCTTACAAAATTTTTTTGTGCAGCACTAATCTTAAAATAAATATAATAAATTTTAAAACCATCCTAATTTAATTTATATTAAAATATCCTCCTGATCTCAAATTATAGGCATTCATTATGTAACAATTATAACAATTTTCATACTCTCTCTCTCTCCCTCCCTCTCTCTCTCTCTCTCTCTTCTGTCTTCCTATTCCGTCCTAATACGCTTAGCATATGCTCCCAAATATTCCCCATCACCTCACTCTCTCTCCCCTTAATAAAATCCCTCGATAAACACCTTCCAACTCCCACCACAAAATCGAAGAGCATGATTTATTAGCGAAACAGGGAAAGCAGGAGATTGATCATGAAGTTTGGTAAGCGGCTAAAGCGGCAGATAGAAGAAACTCTTCCTGAATGGAGAGACAAATTCCTCTCTTACAAGGACCTGAAGAAGCTAGTCCGACTCATCTCCGCCGCCCCGCCCTCCGGCGACTCCGCCGAGGATCAGTTCATCCGCCTCCTCGACGCAGAGATCCACAAGCTCAACTCTTTCTTCGTCGAACAGGAAGAAGACTTCATCATCCGACAAAAGGTACATTCTTTTTCCCTTCACCGTTCATCTCCAATCTTCATACTTTTCTCTTAACATGGTTTTAGGTTAATTTCCCCCGCTGGCTGTAGGAGTTGCAGGAGAGAATCCTCGAGGTGATGGAGGGCCACGGCGACATGACTAGTATCAGGAAAGATATCGTCAATTTCCATGGCGAGATGGTTCTGCTCGAGAATTACAGCAGCGTTAACTATACAGGTTCTTTCTTTAGCCAATGCTTGCAGTCCATATGGAGAAGAAATATTTGCTAAGACAACTGGTTGCAGGGCTTGCTAAGATCTTGAAGAAGTATGACAAGCGCACAGGTGCTCTTCTGCGGCTGCCATTCATAGAGAAGGTGCTAAAGCAGCCTTTTTTCACTACTGAGCTGGTTTCAAAGCTGGTGAAGGACTGCGAGAGCATGATTGAAGCCATTTTTCCAGAGAGGGAAGGGATGTCGAGGGTGGAGAGAAAGGCAGCAGGAGCGGCCGAGCAGAGCATTTTTCGCAACACTATGGCTGCGCTCGCCACCATGGAGGAGCTGAGGAAGGGAAGCTCCACCTATGGCCACTTCTCTCTGCCGCCCATCGGGTCGCCAGAGGCTGATCTGTTGCAGACATTGCAGCCGCCATCCCCCATCCCCATAGTGATGAATTGATGACGACGATGATAAAAGAATAATTACTATTTATTTTCGTTTTTTTCGGTAGTTAGTCTGACAGAATTATGTTACTTTAGTATAAAAAACGCCATAGGAGAGGATTTGATTGCAGTTCCAGTACTGAATGAATGCTGGTTTCTAAATTTCTTCTGAAACTGCTGCCCTGATACAGATGAAGAGGAATACAAGCAATGTTTTTATATACTGATTTGCCTTTTTTTAATAAATTTCTATGATGAGTAAATCTTAAGAGTTGGTAATTTAGTGATTCTCTGCATGATTGTTGCTGATTTTCATGGCCTACTTTGAGGAAACTGAGATCTGAAGAAACTTAGATACTTCGCCACAAAAACAGGTTTTCCTTGTTTTTTCTGCAGCTGAGGTGGAATCAAATTCTTTAGCAATTACGTTATTCGAAATCAACACGAATGATTTCAGTCAAAGTTATAAGCCAATGCCATGACTTCAAACTAATTATGTTGATTTTGAGTTTTGGTTGATTCCCTCAAAATTGATCAATAAATGTTGCAGCATTTTGCTCTGTTTAGGTGGTAAGTGGAATTCCTTTTGGCCAAATGGATTCAAATCTTCATTTTTGTCTTTTATTGTCAACATTTTTCATCTGTATTTTTTATTTTGAATTGATCATTGATTGAAGATTTCATGAATCCTAAACCTGCTATAGATCCTCAAATCCTAAAACATTAATGGATCAACTTTCTCCTCATGTTTCCACACTCTTTTGATGGAGTAGTTGAGGCTTTTTGAATACCTGCAGCGTGTGGTTTTTTCCCTCAGTGTTAATTATCTATTGATATGTGATGTTGGATTGATGTTAATAAAAGGGTTTATATATAAGGCAGTTGAAAAAGCTGCTATTTGAATAGCTAGGTTTCATTTGGGATGGCTTTCTTATTGCTTTTTAAAATAGCTTTCTAGTACGAAAATATAGTGAAGAATAAAGAATATCAGGATTTAATGTTGAAAAATTTGAAATCGAGAAAAAACAACGTTGTGCCACACTAATTTAAGAAATATAGTATGAAAAATATGAGAAATTGTACATATTTTCATTCTAACACTCTTTTCTTTGCTTCGCACCTACATCCATGGTCTCCAAATGCAAATACAAGAGTTTCTCATGAGTTGCTCACGCCTTCAATTGGATACAACTCTTACAAAAAGAAGATAAAACCGACTCGCAACACTGCAACATGGTACATGCAATGCCGCGACGTTGAAATAGCTGCCAACACTCCAGCGCGGTGTTTATAGTGCCTCGACATTGAGCTCTCTGCTAAAGGGGATCCACAATGCGTTGGCACTAAATTTACATCGCCACGATACTATATAGACGAGAAAAAAGAATCACCCCCAGACCCTAGAGCAGGGGGAGAGTTGCACTCCTATGACCCCAGCGATTTGGCCTCATCGAGCTCGACCGACGAAATTAAGGGCTGAGTCAACAACTCAATATGATTAATCGACACAATCATATTCCACACAAAACTAATATAATTATTGTGAAAAATTTTCTCTAAGATATGAAACTATTTCAAACACAGATAGAGTAATAGTTTATCTTATAAACAACAAAACCAATACAAAGAAAAAATTCATAATTTCTTCTACTTAATTATGCTAAAAATAACCATTTTTGTGAGCAAGAAGAAGAAAGAGGAGAATGCTTCATTCAGTCTAATATGTTGCTTGCAGAATACTGTGAGGTGAAATCAGAAAAAGATGAAGCATATTCTTCTTTCACTCAGAATCTAACAGTTCCATCAGAGAAATTTTAGCCCCCCCAAATTCTTTTTATTATAAAATGTCATTTTAATCAATGAACAGCAAGACGATGAGAAGAATAAAAGAATATCCAAAGACACTTTTTTGTATTATCAGTTGAATTTCATAATCGGATATTCCACAGAAGAAGAAGTAAGCACCCATCAAGACTTGTGGTTGGTGGGCGAGCACGGTTGGGAACCCCCATCCAGGGTTCGAATCCTCTCTACTATAGCCTCGTCTCTTCAGTGGGACAAAGCAAGTGTGGGCCGGATGTCGGTGGATGGTCTCGCTAGGTTCCGCCGAGCGATTAATTACGCCGCCAAATGCTCCCTTTAGAATGACAACGAGTAAAAAAAACAGAAGTAAGCTTATTCTGGATGAAGCCTTCTTTATTTTCTTCTAATAAAGCAGATATTTATTGGTGAAATCAGAATTTTAAATGAGAGAAGATGAAAAAAAAAACTTTTATAACATACAAAAATATAAGAAAATGAAGAAAAAATATATACTTTTTTATGATATAATCACTATTAGTATTATATTATTAATAGGCATAATTTAAAAATATTATATTATAATGTTTCTACTTTTATAATATTGCTGGGTCAAATCCTTTCCCATTATTTTTGGAGTCTTTTGCAGAAGAAGTCTACTATGGCTGGTGGAAGATGGAAGCAGTAATCCATTAAAGGAAAGCCAAGTGGTCTAACGGTAAGATATACGATTTAGGAGCTTGAAGATAGAAAATATGTTAAGAAAATTAAAATAATATGATGTTGGATGTTTTATTGAGAGTTTTTTCAAATATATTATATAAGTTTTATGTATTTATATATTTAAAATATATATATAATATTTTAATTTTAAATCAATTTCTACACCATAATAATTTATATAATTTTTTTATTTAACGAATTATATCCTAAATAAGTAATTATCTAAAACACTATATATTACATACTTCAATAGACTAATTTTACATATTAAGCAAAATATGCATTAATTACTATTATTTATAATAAATTTACCATATTTTATAATATCTCTCATAAATTTAAACGTATGTGAATTTATACATTTGTAAGTTACTGCAATTCCAAAAACTATGGTTGGCAGCCAAAGCTCCCGACAACGAGATCAAGATGAGTTGAGTTCATAAGTTTATTTGACTCACTTACACCTCAAGCTGGGGGGAGGCAAACTCATACACACATCACATACAAAAGCTTCGAACCGAAAACCCCTTAATTGGCAGTCAAAGCTCACGACTACGAGATCAAGATGAGTTGAGTTCACAAGTCTACTTGACTCACTTACACCCCAAGCTGTACCATAGTAATGTGCCAAAAATATAGTAATGGGAAAACTCATACACACATCATATATACAAACTTCAAACTGAACACCCCTTGGTTGGCAGCCAAAGCTCCCGACAACGAGATCAAGATGAGTTGAGTTCATAAGTTTACTTGACTCACTTACACCTCAAGCTGGGGGGAGGCAAACTCATACACACATCATAAGTTTCGAACAAAACACCCCTTAGTTGGCAGTCAAAGCTTCGGACTATGAGATCAAGATGAGTTGAGTTCATAAGTCTACTTGACTCACTTACACCCCAAGCTGCATCATAGTAATGTGCCAAAAATATAGTAAAACCGAACACCCCTTGGTTGGCAGCCAAAGCTCCAAACAACGAGATCAAGATGAGTTGAGTTCATAAGTTTACTTGACTCACTTACACCTCAAGCTGAGGGGAGGCAAACTCATACACATCACATACAGAAGCTTCGAACCGAACACCCCTTAATTGGCAGTCAAAGCTCCGGACTACTAGATCAAGATGAGTTGAGTTCATAAGTCTACTTGACTCACACCCCAAGTTACACCATAGTAATGTGCCAAAAATATAGTAAAATATTCATATTATTTCCCAAAATTAGAAAGCAGGAAATTGCATTTTTTTTAATTAAAAAACAAATGGGCTCCCTTCAGAGAATCTCAAGCTTAAATAATTCAGTCAACAGAACAATAAAATATGAACAGTAGTATACGTTTGACATATGGCCGTCACAAATTAGACTGAAAGAACAAATCTTCTAGTCCAGGTCGAGGAACTCCATTCGTTTTCGCATAGAGCCTTTCAAATCTGTAGCTTCCCTTTCTGCTTTCAGTGCCTGTGAAAAACATTTTGTATTGAGCAGTGATGTTACAGGAGACTAATCAAATATCAAAGATGCACAGATGAACATCAGATGCATTCTTAGTATCATCCCTCTCTACATTTATAAAGAGGGAAAATTACGCACAAATGCACACTTTTCACATTTATAAAGAGAGAAAATTATTACGTGCGGCATCCGGATTCGTCCGGAGGAGAATCCAGACGCGACACATCACCCGTGGCCTAGTGCATCCGGGTGACGTGGCACGTCCGGATTCGCCTACGGACGGTCCGGACACTGCACATAATAATCTCTTTATAAAGAGAGAGGGATGATACTTAGAATGCTTAACTGGAATGATACTCACCTTTCTTATCTCTGCAGGTGAAACATTTACCATATGTGGAGGGAGTTCATCTCTCTCAAGGTCCTATCAAGTCCAGAAACAACAATCATCACAACAGTACACAGAAGAAGAACTAGCAACAAAAGGCTACAAGGCATAATAGATCAATACCAGCTCTCCAATCAAGACAACGTTCTCCCCACGGATCACATACAGGCCTAGAGAGATATCACAATAAAGATCTCCTACAATCACTCGCTCGCAGGCCCCTTCCAGAACAGCATTTGCTTTGCAAAAGCAGGTTTTAATGATTAATATTCGATTAAAGGAAAGAAAAAATCAAAGATAAAGCAGAGAATGCAGAAAATAGAAAGATACCAAACTGATCAAAAGATCGAAGGATGCCCAGTAATTTTCTTCCATCTCGTAGCACGACAAGGAGTTTCTCTGAGAAATAACAAGTATTTATAAAAGTTGAAGGCAGGTTGGACGCATTCAACATCACACTTGGACGATGCAGAAATACAGTAACTAATAGCTGATTGTGAGCTCAAGAACTTGTATTCAATGTTGTTTATGCACAAAGTGCAAACTGCGAATGGCGTGCACTGAATTCGTTAATTAAAAGCACATATTTTGGATTAAGAGAGAAAAGCAAAGGACATTCAACAATGTGCAGCAAAGTACAATACACATGTATGTATGCCTATATATATTTATCCTCCGCAGCCTCTTTCTAGTTCTATTTTCAAATTAAGAGTTTTAAATAGCCTTCAAAATCATAATCACACCATTCAATGTGATATATGAAAATTACTTGTGAATCAAGTTTCATCAAAATTTATAATAATTTACAATTCCTTGAGCATGTGATAAAAATGAGGACGATTGGACAACATATAGAAGACATTTTAAAATTAAGTTTTGCTCATATATTTCACCAATCTAACAGTTTAATCCTGATCCATTTGAAAGTCTTTTGCTTTTAAACTGTAATTCCCTTTTGATGCAACCCGAACCATCCAATAAAAAATTTACAATGCATCAAATTAATGAGGGATCTGGTTAGTCTTCTTGCCTCATTTAGCCATGTCATGCCTAGTTTAGCATGGCTAACCTCATGGAGATTAGGTGGGGCATGACATTCTCCCCCACCTATTCTCATGATGCCCTCATCGCCAGTCTTCTGGCAGCAGTGTCTTGTATAGTCCTTGGTTGCTCTTTGACCCTTGGACTTCATCCTTACTCCAGAGTTGGGTTGCCTCTCCTTTGGCCTATATGTTACCCTGCCTTCCCTCGACGGTGATAGCTTTGGAGATTGTTCCTGCGGCATAACTTCCTTGAACCCTTTGAGAACCTTTGCTTGCCCGCGTAGCTTGTTCTCCTTGGGTCTTGGCTTCCTATCTCCGCTAGGTTGTGCCAAGAGGCTCCTCTTGTCCATCAAGGTGTCCCTCCTTATCTTCGATCCCTCCTTCCTTGGCATGGCTTCAACAACATGGAATGCTGACAGCCGCTTCAAGTATTGCTTGGTGCTCCTTACCATGGGCACCGTGTAAGCCTTTCCTTCTTCCTCCATTATGCACAAGCAGTTGGCGAATCGCATAGGTAATTCCTTGACTTGATCCAAGAAGTCCATCCACAGGATGACTTGATAGTCATCCATGGAGATGATGGAAAAGTCCAACTTCCCCTTCTAAGCACCCATACTCACATCTACACCACGAGCTATGCCTTCAATGAGCTTGGCTGCTGAGTTCACTGACTTGATGAAGCCTCCTCCATCCCCTGTCTTTATGCCCAACCTCCTTGCTTCCTCAACTGCTAGGAAGTTGTGAGATGCCCCAGTGTCCACCATGGCCTTAGTAGTCTTCGTCCCCATGGTCATTTCCACAAAGAGAAGCTATTTATCTTTGATCTAAAGGGCTTTAGTCTGAGGAGCTTTTTGGATGGCACCAAGCATTTGGATTGCCCCCATACTTGTAGCAGGCCCATTATCTTCAGCTTTACCCATAACTTCATGCGAGGCAAGGAGTGAATTTAAAGCCTGCTTCTTTAGGCAGGCCCTTGACCAATGAGAGCCTCCACAAATGAAGCATTCATTCACCCTATACTGGCCTTTTCCATCCCTACGCCTCTCCTTCTCCTTGCCTCTAAAGTCCTGAGGTTGCTCGCTCTTGTATTGGCCCTTGTCTTTAGGATGGCTCATGTTTCCTTCGCCATTTTCATGGTTGCTTTCCTTGGACTTGGCCTCCTTGGAGTAGTCCAGTAACCCCTCCGTTGTAGCTATGGTGGAAGCCAAGTCTTGTACTCCTCTTTTCCTCAGTTGCATCTTTTGCCCAAGGTCGAAGTCCATCCATAAAGTTGAAGAGAGCGTCCTTGTCAGACATGTCAGGGATTTCAAGGATCAAGTCAGTAAAGTCCTTGATATAATCCCGTATTGACTCTGCCTATTTTAGCCTTCTGAGTTTGACATTGGCTTCATCTTCTCCATTCTCGGTGTAGAATTGTCTTCTTAGTTCCCTCTTAAAGTCTGCAAAAGAAGACATGGAGCATAACCCCTTTTGCACATCTCCTTTCCTCATCCAATAAAGTATGGCAATATCCTTGAGGTAGAGAGCCACGAACTGTATCTTGGCCTCCTCATCTACCATGCCCATCGCCCCGAAGTATTTCTCTAGTCTCCATACGAAGTTGTCCTCCTCCTTTGCGTTGTGTGAACCCCTGATGCATCGAGGCTTTGACACCTCGACTCGCCTTACCTCGCTAGTACTAAATGTGGGCATTGTTGCCAATGCGCGCTTGCACAGGGTCACATCCCCGCGCAGCTCTTCAAATCGAGAGAACAACCTGTTGAGTTCCCCCATGAACTCCTCATGCATCTTGACCATCTTGACCCTCATGATCTCCTCCAAGTGGATATCATTCCGTTGAGGGAACCATGGATGGTGCATTCCTCTTCCTCAATCCCATTCATCCGCATTTCCATCCCATCCACTAGCACTTGCATGCCACGTACAACGTCTTCCACCCGAGCTAGCCGTGACTCAAGCTGGAGATAATGTCCTTGGATTACCTTGATGTAGCTGGATTACCATGCTTCTCCTGGGCTTGCACATGCTGCATCGCCTCCACATTGATGATCTTAGACTCCACAACATGATCCCTGCTGATCTATGCCATGCCTGGATCACTCTTATGACACCAACCTTTCCCTTGGGATTCAACCTGGCTCTGATACCAACTGTAACAAAGAGAACATTCTTAACCATGTGGCCTTAGCACCTCAATCCTAATGCTAAGTAGCATAACACCTAACAACGCTAGGAAAGAACACTTGAAATTGGAGAGTGGAGGTTAAAAGGGAAAGAGAACTCTTCACTAAGAAAGCTCTTTACAAGGCTCGAAAATTTGCATGCTATGGAGAGAGTTACAAATGAGGGGGTGGGTTCCTATTTATAGTCCTTCACCCTTCATCCTAGAACATTCTAGAATGGACTACATAATACATATGTGTGGGGTTTTCTAGAAGACTCCACACCATTCCTATATACATTCCCTTTATGTTACAATAATCTAGAAAGTTCTAGTGTTCCCACGAATACTCTCCAAATCCCTATACATATCTAGAGTACTCTAGAGACATATAGAACCTTCTTGACATTCATAGTCTTTTGGCAGCTTCTAATGCCTTCTGGAGTGTTATGGACTTGAGTAGCACCTTCCGGAGCCTTCTACTGCACAATACTCCAAGTTTTGAGGGCTTTGGTTAGTCTTATTGCCTTCTTTAGCCATGTCATGCCCATTTTAGCATGACTAACATCATGGAGATTAGGTGGGGCGTGACACCAAGCTCCAATACAAGTATAACCCTCCCCCGCAATACTTTTAGCCTAAGCCAAGGTGGATCTTATCTCATTGATAGCCGTAGCTGTCGCAGATAAACCATGCCTGTTTTGACCTTAAAGAACTAATAGAAACATTCAAATAATGTTAAAAATGAAACTTTGGACCCTCTTCCATCACAGCCAACAACCTAGGTAGTTGCAGGAGGAAGAACTAGCCACTAGCGCCCCTACACGAGGATTTATTTTAAGGCTAAATAGAAGCTCTAAATGATCTAATTATGTTGCAACAACTGACATAGCTTTGATGGCCATGTAAAACTAAAAGAAATGATAAATCTTTCCATTCCCACTTTGTTCACCTTCTCCAACCTTCATCAGAACTTCGAAATGCGCCAAGCAATTTTCCACCAAATAAGTAGGATGTAAAGAGCTTGTGCTTGAGATGTTTAAAGCATATGATATAATCTTGTCAGGGTTTATCTCCATCCTCACAAACATATTCTCCAAACATAGAGCAACATGGCAGAACAATAAAATAAGGGGCAGTTTGGTAGGCAGAATTAGGAGGGTAAAGTAAATTAAATGCATGTATTTCTTAAATTAGATTGTTTGGTTGATTTTGAGCGGAGCATAAAGAAGTCTTCTGAAGCATAAATAGTGTATTACAAACATCCCTTCCTACGACTTCAAAACCCGCTCAAATTGAGCGGGTTAGAAATTATCCGTTCTTCCCATGCGCTGGTTTCGCGGAATCAAAGCAAGCATTAAAAGGCCAACCGGCTTTAGTGTGCGTGTTTAAGGGGATGGAGGCGGCTTGGTATTGAGCCGACAGGTTTGGAAAGCTCGACAGATGATTTAGCCTCAAGTAATGTCTCTCTTCATACCGATTATGATCATCCTCTCCATCTTACTCAAAGCCGTCTACTCATACCTCTGGCTTTCGCACCAGATCCAGCTTCACTTCCGGCGCCAGGGAATCAGCGGTCCTACTCGCTGCCTTCTGTCCAGCAGGAAAGCCAGTGAAATACTTCGGCTGTTCGCGACTGCTCAATCTTCTCCGACGCCGGGGCTTAGCCACAACCGAAACAGAGAATTGATTAATTGTTCTTTATTTTAATTAAGGATGAATTTTATCAGGGATATATGGATCTATGGCAGTGGCGGGGAAGTGGATTTGTTCGATTGCCGGCATAGATGAGACGGGAGGCTTCCAGCAGTCCCTCGAAGCTGTAATCGACGGTCTGGGCTACGCTTCTCCGCCTATTATAGCTCTTCTCTTTATCCTTGTGGGAGGAGGGCTGTGCCCCTGTCGGCGGCGAGGGTAGGAGTTCAGCGAGGAGGATGTGTGTGAGAGCAAATTCCGTGAAGGGCTGCTGTAGAGGATTAGCTGTTGTAGTTGGTGTTCGAATTGAGGGCTCGCTGGAAGTATTTACGGCAGCATGGTGTAATGGCTATTGGAGAGGGCTAACAGATGCATGAGGTGTTGAGGAGAGGTTGGAGGAGGTTTGTAGGTATGAATGGAGGGGTTGGGAGATTCGTGAAGTAATGTGAGAGCTGGAATGAGTTATAGAGGCTGACTGTGTGTTGCTCTTCATGGATGCAGGTCAAAGGGGTAGAAGAGTCGACTTAGAGCGTGAGAAGAATAGTGGAAGTGGGAGAAGGATTTGAGAATGAGTGAGAGAGATGGTAAGGGATTTCAAATTGGCTCTGAGATCCTATACTTTGGTTTCTCCCTAACGCCAGCTAAATGAAGTGACTTGACGCAGACTGTAGCACCAAATATGAAGAGATAAGGTGGGGATTTTGCAGGGTATAATATAAGATATAGAATATTCTTCCTTATGTATGTATATATTATGGAGACTTTTGAATTTGATGTCATTTTATTATAATTGTTAATAAAAGTAATATTTTATTCCAACTTTTCTTAATTTTTGATTAGCAGTCAACACATTATTACTTTGTATAAAAAGTATTTTTCAAGCCTTCTTAGATGTTTTTCTCAACATCGTAGAAGCGAAAAAAAAAAATATAACTTATTTTATTCAAATTTTATCAAATGCATTAAAATTAAGGCATGGAATAATTTTTTTATTACTTAGCGTTTGAAATCGTAATTATAAATTTTATTTTATCATTGATTTTTCACGGCTTACAAATTTTTTATTAAAAATTTATATTTTACAACAGCATAAATTTTTTTTTATAGCAACTTTAATATATATAAAAAGTTGTACCAAATTAAGGGATATAATTTTGATTTAGAGCTGCTAGTTGGTTATCATACATTTAAAAAAAATTATCTTTTAAAAAATTTATTTCAATCTCAATATATATAAGGGTATGAATATAATTTGTTCCAACACAGCTGCAGCACAGCAGCTCCACAGTTATACTATACAAACAAAATATAAAGATTTCTATACAGCAACTTCAGAAAGCAGCTTTCTATACAATAATTGCACAACCTGCTTTACCGACAGCTGCAGCCGTCCCAAACGCACCCAAGTCATCATAATTAATTAGTTAAGCTCAAGCTCAAATTAGAGGCGTCAAAATAAATTATTACAAAAAATCTGCTTTTACTTTACTCTGGTTCTACCTAACCAAATAAGGGAAACAATTCTCATGCGTTTATTTTGCAGACAACCAAACATTCTCAAAGTATTCGAAATGCACTACATTTATTTTACATTTCATTTACTTACACTGCATTTTCTTTTCAGGTAACCAAACAGCCCATAAATCTCACTTATATAGTAAATATAAAAAGATAAGCTTTGTGATATCTTTAATCAAGAGAGTTCTCTAGAATGAGGATGATAGTTAATTATGGAGGCTGATGCTCATACAAAAATCTGTCTCAAATCTAAATAAAACCTTGAACATTATAGTAAAACATGGTTTGGTGATAGAACATTTCTTGAAAGTAACTCCATGTGATTCTTGCAATTCAATGGAGTAGTCAACTTTCAAAACCAACATCCTTTACACATGCACACAATAAAAAACCATCTCTTCTCAAACTCTCAACTATTCTCCAATAATTCCTCCCCTCCTCTTCATCAACAAACATTGCCACATCCCCACTCCCTTGAAAAGATGTCAGCCTCTCACTAAACGACCACTAATAACCCCACTCACCCCTCTCGACCCTACTCTAAAATTTACCATTGGCACATCATATCAATGCTATCTTCACATATTTGTTAGTCGCTACTCCAATGATATCCCCTTTCCATTGCACTGCTCTCACCATCATTACATGCGTCCAAGGTTATCCAAGTGACTCTAGTATGTGAGCTACGCCAATGACACATCCAAAATCTATTCAGATAGCCATTGTTGTTGCCATCAGAGCAGAAAGATGAGAGCTTTAGCATCTTTACAAGGATTTGATCTTCTTTGGGGTGCATTTTTCAAGATCATTGGTCACTAACAAAGGCATCATCTCCAACAAATTATCAGGCTAGTTTTTCCTCCCTACCCCTCAATGGAACTTCAAATCTCCATAATTGCATTATTTCCGATGAGATCCCTCACCCTTCTCCACCAATAAGAACTTTCTTTACCCTACCTCAGCACTAGACTGGCTAACTAAAGCTCTTTATTTCTGTTCTAATCACAAGAAAATACTTTGGGGATTTGGGAAATCTAAATTTGGGTTTATGCTGAAATCATCATCACGTCGTTACCTCGAATGCTTTAGCATCCATCCCTATGTGATTTTTCAGTGGTGTGTCCTCGTTGACCTATAGTAGTTCACATGCATCTCGTACATCAAAGTCGCATGAGACACATCCCATCACCAGCTACACGCAATCACAATTGCTTCACCACTATTCCTCACTCCATCACAAACTGCCTTGATGCATTGTTTTTGCACATTTCCTCCATCAAGCACCTAAGCCTTGTGAAATACTACTAGTGCACTTGCCTCTGTGTGTATTTAGTAGAATATTTGCATCCATCCTTACCAACACATGCATCTGATGCTCAATTGTATGAAGGTTCATTGCATGCTCTCACAGCTAGCACAATGGTTTGGACGCATGCACACTCCCAATGTTTATCTCCACCCCATTTAGCTTGACAATTCAATCACCTTCAACTATAAATTAGAAGCTCTCATCAAATTGGCATCACTAAAATTTGCATCTACATCAATTATTTAAACCCTAGTCTCAAACTTTGTGAATTTCTTCATTTGTTATCATGGAATCAATATAACCTAGATAATTGAATTGTTCAAGATACACTTTATGTATATAGAAGATACATAAAAAACCAGACAAAAGCACACTTTTAGAGTTTCCAAAAGTCTCAATATTCATTATGGAGTCAACCCTATTATTTTGTTGATATATTTTGTCAAGATCATCAGCATTTCTATAATAAATATTATTTTGGATATGTTTTAGATTTACTAGCGATGTTTGGACAAAATATAGCTTCAATGTTCTAGATGATGCAATTATTATATTTTGCAATGTAATCCAACACACCTAAAAATCTTGTTGAAAGTTGTTAAGAGTTGAGAAAGGAACTACATTAGTCATAGACAAAACTTGGCAAATTCATTTCACACTTTTGTCCAACAATTCCACTCCTTAATGCTCCGCGAAATTCAAAAGCTTCACTAACTTCTCCTTATGAGTTTGAGCTTGAGCATGATAAACTCCAATCCCTAATGCTCCACGAAATTTCAAAAGCGCCACTAACTTCTCCTCCTTATGAGCTTAAGCCTGAGCATGCTAATATGATAGTACCTGAGCATGTTTTTAAACTCAATAATTCTATACATGAAGAAGAGTCTGAGCGAGAGATTGGATAAGTGGTTTTGTTAAAATTCATTATTATATCCAAGAAATCTTCAGCATGGTTATTACTTCCCAAGCTTTATACATTAGGATACCCGGTGTGCCTCAGCTTTCTACGTCGTTGTCCACTCCATTCTAGATTGAGTTTGTTTAATCATTGCTTCCATTGCAATGTGACTAAGGGAAATTCTATGATAATACTTTGATGATTATATATGATGCATGGCTCTACCAAGTTCAAAGTCTCCTAATCTTATTTTTTATGTCAGGCTAAGTATGATAATAATTAAGATGTTCATAAACCACTTCCTTCGCTGCCTCCATGATGAAAATCATACTTCCAAGAGAAATTTTTTTACATAACTATTAAGAAGAAGATTTTTATTGAGCTCAAGGAAATTGATGTGACAAAAGAGATTAGATTTAGATTTATTCTTGGTAGTTTAGAATTTATTTTATTTAAATTAGGATTTAGATTTGTTTTATTTATTTTATTAAGATAATAACAATATTTGAAATTAAAATATTTATGATTATATTTAGTTTAGATATGATTAAATTTAAATTCAAATAATTGATCTTATTTTTGGTCATGTCTATCTAACACTTTCAATTAAATTTAAATTCCTATTGGACTTTGGATACTCCTCTCTCATGTGCTTATCTCATAGTACTCGATCATCCTATTCATCTCCATTATTATCTTCCCTTATGACATTCCTTTGTCACCATGAGAGCACAATTTCAAAATTACTTACATAAGTGTAGATTAGTTCTTGCTTTTGCAACTATTCTTAATGCTAGATGTAAGATACTAATTATGGAGTATTACTAACAAAGATTTTATGATGAACTTGAGAGCTAGTGGATGCATATTCAAAGGGTTTAAAGTGTGCTCTTTGATTTGCATTATAAATAAACAAGTGATAAAGCAAAGAATAAAAAACTCTTCATACAAAAATAAAATCCTATATGATAACAATGACAATTGAAAAATTTTCATTCTTGATGTCATCAAAATCTCATGCTATCATTTGGAGGGGGATCCCAAAAAATTGAGTAAGACTCGTGCTTAGTTGAAGATGAAATTGAAAATTTTGGATGAACAGAAAGTTTATACTTTAAATCATTCTATTTTAAATAAGGTGTTTTCTGGTAGTTGTCTTGGCAATCATAATTGCATTTGAGTTGCAGCTATTGGAAGAATTATAAGTGGAAAAAGTCTCCTCTTAATATCCATCAAAAGACAATGATTTCATTAATGATTTGTTGTAAACACTAAATCAATGTAAATAAACGATTAGTTTGCATTTCTTATTATTATTATTTTTAAAGAACCTATCTGGTGTTTCATAATTACAATTATGTTCACTTATGCTTAATAGGTAAAACATTCGAGAAAAGCATGGGAATGATTTTTTCTTTAGTTAGGGTCATCCATGTGCAATACTTTGATGATTATCCACTTATACCTTTTTCGTATTAGTTTCCTAACGGTTTTTGTCGTGTAATTTTGAACCTGGAGTTGGAGATCATACAGTTTAGACTTGAAATTCATACTTTGGAAGCTTGAATGGATTCAAATTTCATGCAAATTCCAGATTCTTCAGTGTGCTAGGTCTGTTTTTTCAGACAACAATTTGCATGTTGGCTCATATGAGTTTAAGGTTGCTAACAAAGAGACAAGGGTTGTTCGTACTTGTGGTACTTAAAAGACTTAAATGATTATTGGTGGATGGCAAAAAATGCCACTAGAATGTCGTGATCAGCGGGTTTCTCTTATTTTAAGTATTTCTACAACACAATGCATTCCTTTAAGAAATGGTGGAGATAGAGTATTCATAAATTTGTTCACAAATAGGAGATATAAGGTATTGTGTTGATGATGCTACTACATGTGTGATTAATAATGAGATTGGTTAGAATATGTTCTGATATTCTGTATGACTGCCAATCTAAAAAGCAATTTGTTTTCACAACTAATAACCACTTTAACAGTTTAACTAATTTCAAACCTGACCATTGACATGATTTGATGAAATCATTGTAAAGTTAATCCACTATACCAGTCATTTTAAAACCAATCAAACTTAAAAATTATAAACATTAAATTTGATAGAACAACTAAGGTCCTTGTAACTTGTAATGAAGAGATAGAATTGGCAGATGTCCTATTCTAAAAAAAAAGATTGTCATAGTACAGTTTCATATTGTCTAAGAGAAGAGTGGAGAAAGCACTAAGATAATTGTACATTATACAATAAAAGTGTAAGAAAATAAAGCACTCGCATAATTTTGGTGGCAGACAACCAAGACTGCAATTTACAATAACAAAACAACAGTCTCTTAATAGTTAGGGATAGCCGAAGCATAAGAAAGCGTCCAACTGAGGTGCTATTAAAATTACATCCCTCATTGTTGAGTTGTGATTTAGATTTCCGACCCTCAAGTACATTCAGGTAGCCTAAGCCATTATAAGGCATTTGTTTATCAATGAGGATTTGGGTAAATTTCAGTCCATCTCTCCTCTAAGTCGAATCAAGCGAGATATTGGATCACAAATGATTACAAATTTAAAACATCTGTCAAACTGGATTTGAAATTTGAAAAGGATTCACGCTTACACAAATGAACAGAAGATTTGAGCTTGAACAACACTGAACAATAATATGCTAGCCTTAACATTCAACATGTAAACTTCAAATTATAATTAAATTCATCCCAGCTATTCGGTGTCAACATGTAAAGATTGAAGATAAACATTTGAATAATAGGAATGGGTGGTATAAACTAGAAGTAAAGCAAAAGGGCGGTATACTTACAGAAAACAAATGGAAAATTTTTCATGTCCAAATACATTAAATAGCAACAACTATGAGCTTATACATACTGTGGTAGATAATAAGACAGTGGTTTCTCCATTAAATACCAACTTCCAAGTGTAAAAGAAGTCAATAGCAATCCAAGAAAGAAACTACTTTTATAAGAAAACAAAAGATGCGTTAAACACAGGATAAATCCATTAGAATTCAGCAGTAGCAATGATATTCTATATATAAAAAAGAAAGAAAGAACAAATAGTGTGGTAGTGAGGCAAAGAAAAGAAATTTACTATCAAGATAACTCGCGAGAGAAGTGGACAGAAAGAGGTCCTCCAGGCCTGCCCAAGACATTGAAGCTTCTAATTATTATATCTACCTTACAAGTCCTCCAAAACAACGCCAATAATAGCATTGGCAGCTCGAATCTCCACGGCTTCACCGATCCTCTGCCTACAAAAGTTTTTTCAACTCAACCTTTCGCATGAAACTAAAGCCAGGAATAAAAAAGTCGAGTCTTTTTTGAAATCTAGCTACTACGATTCCAGATAAGCAGACGGAAACCCTAATAATTCTCTAGAAAGACCCCGGAGAGTTGCTCTACGAAGGAATCTGAGGCCCAATGAGTATACTTAAGAAGCCCTAGAAGAAAAGTGAGGGTTGCTTGCTCTGCCTCTCTATCGACAGAGCGAGAATGATCAAGGTAGAGAGAGAGAACGAACAGGTAGAGAAGCAAGAAACCGAAGTAGGCATTTGAGGCCGTTTACTTTGGTGGGTATAGGCCGAAATTAAGATTTTTTTTTGTAAATTTAGCATTGGTAAAATTTGTAAAAAATCACGTGATTTAAGAGATTTAATATGGATAAGTGAAATAGTTAAATAACTAATTATTGTGTCTTAAGAAGAAAATATTCTTAATATAATTAGTAATTTACTAAAGTTTTATATCAGCAAATGAATATTCATTCATTAATTAAAAATTATAATTAATCTGCACAGTAAAAATGAAATAAAATAAGAATATTAAGTCCAATAAGTTTGAGTAAAATTTGAGCAATGCTTAAATGCAAATAATAAGGGTCAATTAATTAATTCAATTTTTGCAAATTTAGATAGTTTGTAATTAATTGGTTATTTGGATGCTGATTTTGCAACTTTGTTATATGAATTAATTGTCATAAATTAAAAAATTCTTGTTGTGTATTGGAACATTACAAGTAGAGATGAGAGAATTTATCATATTAGCATTATATCAAAAACTTGAACAAGGAGATAAATAAATTATGCATAGCTCATATAAGGCAGGTAATTTTTTATGTAAAATTTTTTCGAGGGAAAAAAGATAGAAGTCTTGTCCTTGTTGAAATGATTCTATTAATATGAGTTATATATTGCAAAAAATGTACTTCAGCTAGCCTTATTGACAATGATGAATGTCGGGCTTTTTAGCGCTGGTTAGGGTTGACCTTGGTACAGCAAAAAACATTAATCTTCAACCCCCCGATTTTAGAAACCTACCAAATCCTAGATAATTACATGATTTAGCTCATATTCCTCTTATATCTAACATAGTATAGCTACATCTTTTTCTAATTATTATAGTAGAAGTAAAGGTTAAAGAACATTCACCGCACACATTACAAGAAAAAAAAATTTATATTTAACATGCTAATAGACAATTATTGTACAACTATAAGTAATAAAAATAAACCTTTGAATTAAAATATTTTGTTAAATCTTGGTATATTTGTTCAAATAAATGGGTCCAAACAGGGTAAGATCATATCACCAACAAAGCTCAATGAGAAGTTCAATAACACGCAGCTCATTTCGATCTATTGGTTTAGAGTTTTGGCTACCAACCCAGAAGTCTTAGGTTCGAAGCTTGTGTATGTGATGTATGTATGAATTTGACTTTAATTTGCTCAAATGTCCTCAAAAAATGAAGTTCAATAACTTTTATATGATTTAGATAAGATGAATTTGTTATTCGAGTTCAAATAGGGCCACATGAGTTCTATTTTTTTTTTATAAAAATTTAAATCAAAATATCTTGAACAATATTCTAAGTTTAAGCCCATATAGAATGAACCATACACGACATGATTCAGAGTAAAACCCTGATGGCACAATATTATTAAATAAAAACTTTATTTTTAAGCCCTCCTACTTAATATATTTACAAATTATTTAATTTCTTACATCTGAAAACAATTCTCTATCTTCAATAGATGCTTGTTTTTTTCAGTTACAAATAATTTCCTGAAAAATGAGATACAAAAGGTACTTCTGAGCCCATCCTCATAGAATTTTCATGCAGGATTTATGTTCATAAATATGTTCTATATTCTCACATGAATCCATTTTTTCTTCTAAGCCATAGAGGAGATTTTCTTTATCAGTTCCATTGCTCAAATCTTCCAAATTTAACAACTGAAACACTTATAACGCAAGACCTGCAATATTGAAGGTAGTTTTCAGTCTTAATTAACTGTTACAAGAATAATGTGAACCATTGAATCTGTGGGGGCTTACCAACAGTAATTGGATTAGATTAGCGCTTATATCTCCAGAACTATATCTGAAAGCAGGAAAAAGATAAGTAATCATTAGCTAAGGAACCTGTCAATGGTGCTTAAAACAATGGAACAGATGCAAAAAATCATAAAATTTCTAACTAAATTATGTCAAATATTCTTCTCATTCTATATTTCAAACGAGAAGTCATGTAAACTTACATTCTGAATCAGTTTTGATCCATTTGCATCCATCCTCTACCTTCTCTTCTTCTTTGTTTTTCTGCAAGTACTTCATTGATGGTGGTCGAGGTACAGTTTGGGGATGAATCTTTTTGTGAATTATTTTCCTCAAGATCTTAGCTCAGAAGGAATAGTAGAAGATCATTAAGAGATCAAAGAGAAAAAAAAAAGAAACAAAAATATGCAGCTTATTACTAAATTCATACCTTTTCCACTTTTGATTCAGAAATCGAGTTCCTTAAACTTTGCTGTGTTGATAAGCAGCTTCTGCTTATAAACATTTTCTTGAGAAGGAAAGAGAGAGACCTTTGCCTGATCCCATTGTGATTATCAGAAAGCAGGTCTTTGAGTTTGTTTAAGGTGATCTTGGAATCGTCAGAATCATCTTTAGATTCCTTGCAGATTTTTAGTGAAGAAATGTTGTCTGCTTCCAGAGTTAAGGAGCTGTTTAGAGAGTTATTCAGCGAGAAATCCGCTCCACCTGTGCTTGAAATTTGCTGGAGACATAGTAGTTTGCTTATTTCTTGCTGCAATTTGATCACCTCTTCAATGTTCAGGTCTGAAATTTTATGTAATAATTCTAGAGTTTCATAAGAACTTTGTGCCATTTGTGAATCTTCCTGCAGGTCATTGTTTCCAAATGTCCCAATTGCCAAAAATGTTTGTGGAAAGTCTTTGAATTCTTGTCTGCATGAATTTCTCTTTGTAGTATCTAAATAAAATTTATTTTTTTCAGATTGCAAAAGATATAGGAGAAAAAATTATGACTCAAGAACAAATAAGATGAGTTCATATGAAAAATGCCACTTTTTATATCTGCGATCATTTAAGGTAATATTGATGGCCTACTACGTTTAAAAATAGGGGAAAAAATCAATGAAGGGTATTGAAACAAACAATACAGTAAATTTAAAAAAAAAAGCTCTTAAAGAGGAAAAAATGGAAGAGGGGAGAATAACTCACAGTGAGAAGAGCTTGGGCCAACATCAAACCTACTTCCTTGTTTCCCATTGAGCTTACTTTGAACCCAGCTGAAAATCTGGACAGCAAAATCATAATTAGAATGTATGAACTATACTTAAATAGCTTCTGCTGATTTTGCTTTGTTTTTCTCACCCTCATAACTCCACCAGTGCTGCAAGCTTCAGTCTTCTTTCAATATATATACAGAGAGAGAAGAACACTAGTAAACTGCATCGAAAAGGTTTCCAGGACAAGAAAGAAAAGAATTTACAAAATTGGCTCTCTTTGTGGTCCTCTCAATCTCAGAAATGGCTGCAAGTTATAAGAGAATTTATCAAGAGGAAAGCTATAGAGGATTTCTACCAAAGATACTAAGACATTGAGGGACTTAGGAAGATTAAATAGAACGAAAAGAACATGGCCACAGATTTCAATGAATTTGTTCCACTAGTTTCAGGACATTTCATCAGCTCAAGATCCCAAGCAAGAGTTCCACCCATGCTTCTTGAACTTTTAAATTTGCCAGATGTGGTAAGAGTATTTATTTTATGTAAGTATATTGTAATTTTGAAAACTTCACTTGTATAAAGAAATTAAAGGGGATATAGATGTTCTCTTTAGGGGCGGTATTCATCCGGGTTAGGTTTATTCAAATACACACATAGCTCATCTTGATCTGTTGGTTGAGTGTTTGGTCTATTAATTAAGAGGTATTGAGTTCAAAGCTTGCGAATATTATGTGTTTGCGAGTTTGGAGCTATTATTCTGTGCGGACACTGGACGGGAAAACCGTATGGTTAAGCGCTAGGTACCAAGCGGTATCAAGCGCGGTACATTTTTGGAGTGACGTGGCGCATTTTTATTGGTCTCCGGATGCCCTCTGGACTCCGCACATAATAATTAATAGCGAGTTTGATATATACTCCCTATCATAATTAGTAATAATCAAATATCCTAATTTACTTATTCCATTATTGCACACTCTCTGACAGAAAGCCTATAAGCTACTAATTTAGAATATTTAACTGTTATGTAGTGTTGCGTCCTGGAATATTCGCGGCAATAGAGAAATATATGGTTTTACGTCTTAGCATTATACGAAGATCCAGCACACAAGCAGATAAGTGAGAGGGTGTAGCATTAATAAGAGACACTAGAGTTTTTACGTGGAAAACCCCTGAAAGGGGAGAAAAACCACGGGGCCTGACCCAGTTTGAATGAATCCACTAGTATTTGTAGTCTATTACAAATGAGCCCTTCTTAGGGAGAAGGCCATGGATTGATGTCACAAATGTACATCATATAGAGTGTATTACATGGTGGGAGTTACATATACATATTTGTTTGGTCGGAAGGACCGTAGTAGGCGACGGAGGTCGGAAGGACCGTAGTCGGCAAGAGACCGGGGTCAGAAAGACAGTTGTTTGTTGATGGAGGCCGGAAGGACCATAGTAGGCGACGGAGGTCGAAAGGATCGTAGTCTGCAGTATTCTAGGAGAACTGTGGGCATCAGGTGGTGGCCTGGTGGAGCTCAAGGTCTCAAGTAGTGGTCCGGCGGAAGTCTGGGCCTCATGTGATGTTTTGGTAGAGCACACGGCCTTTGATGATTATCTGGCGAAGACAAGGGCCTCTAGCAAAGGTGAGGGCCTCTAGCGAGGTGAAGGCCTCTGGAGAAGATGAGGGCCTCAGATGAAGACGTTAGGCCTGAACGTAGGGCCTTGAGCAGAACGTTGGGCCTTGAGCAGAACGTCGGGCCTTCAGTAGAACGTCGGGCCTTGAGCAGAACGTTGGGCCTGTATGTCGGGCCTTCAGTAGAACATCGGGCCTGAACGTCGGGCCTTGAGATGGTGGTGCGGCGAAACTCCGGCAGTGCTCAGGTGAGGCTCCGGCGGTGGTCCAGCGAGGCTCCTACGGTGGTCCGGCGAGGTTCCGGCGGTGGTCGAGGAGGAGATTCTTCCTTCTCCTCTTCCTTCTCTTCTTGCTTGCCTCCCCCCTCCTTTGTGAAGAATGAGGGCTCTATTTTTAGATTTTCTGGAGTGGCATAGCTCGTAAATAGGCGTGAGATCAGGGGCGAATAGGGAGTGGTTGAATGGACGGCCGATATCGAATCCTACGATTAAGCACCGTTCGTTGGACATTTGAAGGTCGTAGAGATATCAGAATTTGACAATCTTGGGCTCGTTGGATTCGTCTCGTCGAGCCATTCGATTCGAGTATAAGCTCGTAAAAATCGGAGACCGTTTGGTAACTCAAACAGTGTTATGAAGCTCCCAACAGCGCTTCGGGTCCTTAATTTTGGCTCATTTGGGCTCGGATTGAGTTGAATTTGGCATCGTTGGATTCGTATTTCCGAGACGCTCAGTTCGACTATAAGTTTGTTGAAATCGGAGTTCAGATGGTCTCCGAATTAATTTTTGAAGTTTCCAACTTGATTCTGCATCGAGATTCGCGCCCGATTAAGATAATTTTTTGAGGACGTATCATGTAGGTATCAGAGCAGCACTCTATGAACTCATTGAAGACTATACAACAATGTTTATATTCTAGGCTGTAACCAATCAGCTTAACCTTCAGTTCACATTATTAAGCCAAATAAGCTTCAAGGAAGAAGAGAAAACATACACAATTACAATAAACTTTACGTGCAATCCATAAGTTTTTTTGCTTTCAAATCAAGTTGATCAATCTTTTTTAGAGATTAATCTTAGTTTTCTTAGTTTGAAGCCATATAACAAACAATGTAAACAGTTTTGTTAGAGATTTCTTACAGCTGGAGATTTCACCAAGCTCAAATTTGATTGAAGAGAGTAAGCTAAGTCTGTGAAGGTAAAGAAACAAAGTGAAAAAGAGTATAGTTGCTGAGTAGAATAAGTTTATGTTGATCAGTTACAGAGCTTGAATAATAAGAAAGAGTCATTTTCAAATTCATATGTGTTTTCTTTCTATATTTGAAGACTACAAATGCAATATCAGCTTATAAGATTATTAAGGATATCAGTAAAATTTCAGGCGACAGAACATTCAGAAAGCAAAAGCCTTGGGGAAGAAGACAGGAATATATCTTATGATTCTAACAGTTTATCAATGGCTTTTTTATTCTAAGAGGAAATATTTGTGTTTAGATTTTGTTGAAATTGCTTCAGTTACTAAAATCTGGTTGCCGTTAGCTGCACGCATCAGATTTGACCTCTGCAAGAAATAGATTTCTGCACTCAATGTCGTTTTATATGCCTAATTGATTCAGTTTTGTTTTTTTAGTTTGTAATCTGTTAATCAATCTACAATTATCATTAACAGTTTAAACATCTTTTCAGTCACTTGCTGCATCACTCATCTCAGGTCATCAGCTTTTGCTTTATGAGTGTTAATCTGTCATGTTAGGATTAAAAAGCTACCCAACTCTTCAAATCAAAGTGTTTCAAGTATCTAGTGACTAAATATTACAATTTAAAAATAGATATTCTAGAAAATAATAATTAGACTGATTGTGTTAACAAAAATAATTGATAATTAATTATGTTGAGTTTAAGAAAATTGGAAAAGTTAAGATGAAGGTTTGTTAAGACTATAAAGATTAAAGTTTTGTTTGGGACGGCTTTCTTGCTGCTTTTAAAGCAGCTTTTTAATATAAAAATATAAGACGAAGGTTAAATAAGAAATTAATAGGTATGTTAGGGCTAAAATAAAAGAAACAAAATAGAAGATATTTTTGTAACGCCCCACAGTACCTCTTAATAGTATTGGGAGTATTACTAACATAAACATATCATTTTCAACATTTGATCATAAGATACTTTTAAACATTTGAAAATCTTTATAAACATATCCTTCAATTGTCATTTATCATATCAACGAAAACACCTAATCATTTTAAAGTCCAACAATATATATACTTACAGAGCCACTAAGATTCCAAATAAAATTCAACATTACAGAGCATCTACATACCTCTAATGTAAACTCATAAACACTTAAAATACTAAAAGATAACACAGAAGAACTTCCAACTCAATCAGCAACAACTTTATCCTTTCCTTTACCTATAACAACAGGGAATTAGACAGATATTTTATTGAGTTATCTAAAAGCATGGCACAATATCAGTTATAAATAAATAGGCATGATGTTATTTCCAGATAAAGAGATGCATGATCAATTGCGAATTGAATTCAGTGTATAAGAAAATTGAATATTTTATTTAAAGAGGAGGTGCATGAATCTATGACTTGTACCTTGCAATAGATAAATACTATGGACCCTATGAACCCATAGTGTTAATGAGCTTATTCTAATGATAACAAATGCATGTTTCGAGGATGTAATTATTTAGATTAAGTGATTTCATGATTAGGTGATTGCATTAATTTTGAACCTCAAAGCAATTACAATCTAAATAATTGGATAATCAATAAATTTAGAAAGGTGATCAAGGAGACTCTAAGGACACTCATGAGCTTATTTTTAGTCCTAAAGAGTCCATTAAGTTCTTAGTTTTGTAAATTATATAATGATGGCTCAAATTCAAGCTTCAATTGACAAAATTAATTTATAAGCTAAAAAGATTTAAAAAATATTTTAAATAATTAGTTATGTTTAAATATTATCAAAATTTATTTTTGGTACGTGCTAAAAAATTTGCGATAGTAAAGTGTGTTTTATGATTTAGTTTTGGACAAAAATTTAGCACATACAGAAAAAAGTTGTAAGACCAAAACATTTTTACGTTCAAATCCAAGAAAGGGAAAAAAATCAAGGGGCCATGTTGAATTATAATAATGCAATATATAATAGGGGAACAATTTTTAAGAAAAAACATTGCCAAAATTTAAATTATGTGAAGGAGCATAATTTTACAATAATTTAAAAAGATACAAACTAGCCAAACTGTTTGGCTAATTCTAAAAATGTCAAACTATTTGGCACATTACATGAAAAATACTAAACAATTTGGCTAATTCTAATTCTATAGAATTAGCCAAACAGTTTGACTAAGAATGTTTGGCTAATTCTTAATACCCAAACAATTTGTATAAAATTAGTTGTATTTATATATTTTGTTAAATTAAAATACTTATAAATTAATTAATGAATAATTAAAACTGATTATGAATATTTTGGTTCATTCTTAATACACAAACAATCCCTATCTGAATGTGATTTTCAATACAATATTCTTATTGTTGTTGGAATGTTGTTTACGAATTCATACATTTTATAAAATTTTATGTTGTTTATAATTTTTACGTCAAAATTTTTTTGGCAATGTTAATTTTATGAACGTTCAGCTAGCTTATTTTTTCCTAAAATGTTAAATATATTTAATTACTCCTAAATTATTAATTAGCACTTAAATTATATTTAAAATATAAAAGACAAATTAATATTTAATGAATAATTATTTTTAAATATAAATACCTTTATTTTAAATATAAAAGATAAATTATAATCAAATTTCTTTTATAAATAAATTTTAATTATAATTTTTATACGGATAAATTGTGAAAATTTATACTTTTTTAAACAAAAATATGTATAAGCAGCAAGTTAAATAATTAAGTCAAATATATCAATAATATTACAATCAAATTCACAAAATATACAAATACAACTAATTTTATATAAACTATTTAGGCATTAAGAATTAGCCAAACTATTTGGCTAGTTTACCTCTTTTTAAATTTTTGTAAAATTATGCTCCTTCACATTATTTAAATTTTGGCCATGCTTCTTAAAATTTGTTCAATAGGAAATAGAAAAAAACCGACTCACAACTCTTTGGCTAGACATCACACTAACCCACATTCACATGGTGTTAGATAGGCATACTTAAATATGTAATAGTGTAGTCTAAATCAACTACAACATATACTCACAACTACTTGGTCTACCCTTACACTCATCCATATTCACATAGGGACATATAGGTGCACTCAAATCACACTAGTGCACTCCAATTTATTTTAACTATCAAATCTATATCAATTCTATTTTAATGTTATGAAAATGAACTATTACTTCATTGCTATTATTTTGTGTGAAAAATGATTGAATAATCACCCTTGAAGAAGATCAAATTATTTGAGAATAAATATCTGATTTCTCTTATAAGGATTATAAAAAATGAATGTTCATAAACGGACAATTAAAACTCCAACATAGGGTTAAATATTGACGGAAGCATGACAATGGTGGCATTGATTGTTAATAGTGATTGACAACAGCGATGGTAGAAAATGCAATATAGTTCTTTAATTCTCTCGGTTCTTAAACTCTTCCTTTCTATAGAAATGAAGCCCTATTTATAAGCTTTCGATATGGACATTTTAATGAAATTGCCTAGAATCCAAAGCATTCCATTATACGATCTATATACAACTAGAGCACTCATCTGCTTGCATAGAAATACAACCAAGATGAGTTTATTGCAAAAAAAGTAGAGTGCAAAATAACAAATTTAAAATTTTCTTGTTGTCTCATTAAACACATTATTGAAACTTAATCAACCTTGCTAGAAGTTGTTTGAATAATATTTTAGGATTGATCAAAACTTTTTGGACCTTGATCTAACAAACTTCAAATTATAATCAAAGATTCTTTGACTATTGTTATGTCATGGTTCCAAAATATAGCAAACAAGCTTTGAAAAAGTCTTTGATCATGTGTCTAACATGTTTAGACCAATGTTATAACAAGTTTTGAGTAATGTTTGAAGTTAATATCCTTCTAGATTTAGATTTCAGAGTATAAATACGTGATATTACTATCTTTCAGTGATAATCACCAGCTAGTCAGAGGCAAAGACGAAGAGAGAAACATTTTATTAGAACTTTACCTTAGAATCATCACTTACGATGTGAATACCTAGAGAAGAAGAAAAAGCTAATAATAAGTGGGTTGATCAATATTTTACTCGAAAAGTCACTTAAATAAGTTAGGACATTTTTTTTTGAATTTCATGGACATTTTAATTTGAAAAGAACTTTCAAGTATATCTTTCAGAGAAACAAAACAGCAGACATATTTCCTTAATTTTGAACATTATGGGGCACATAAAGTCTAATTTCCCTTAAAATTATTAGACATTCAAAGATATAATTTCCCTAAACCTTAAATATGCTGAGCATAACTCACAACCCTAAGTTTAAGAGTTATTAAATTTGTATTTAAATTCTTTAAAGCAGTGATTACATATCATTAAAAAGCCATTCATGCCATTATTGCAGAGTAGAATTATAAGAATTTGACATTCACTGTTAACAGTAGAGGTATTGTGGGGGCCATGCATCCTTTAGCATTAAACTACAATTTGAGATTCCAAATTTGCATAAAGTTTGGTTTATCTCCATTATTTTGATCATTTATGACATTTTTCATAATACAGCATTAATTTCTAATGATATGAGTTAGGTTGGCTCAGAGTTAGCCTTTCTTTTAAGCTATGATGTACATACACGGATATGGCGACACGAATACGACACAACACAGACAAGGAACACGTCAATTATTGAAAATATAGGATATGTGCAGGGGTTGGACGCGGTATTATAGTTTTTATATTTTTAAAATAGTGTATAAAAATTGAATAAGTGTAATTTTTAAAATAATTTAGAAATAATAAGTCATTTATCTAGAGTTTGTGCTTAAATGATTAATATTAGGATGTCGAGAGTCGGGCGTCGATGTCATTTTTCAGTCACCAAGAGAGATGCTGTCATTTTTTAGTCACCAAGAGAGATGCTGTTGAGAGTTGGTCATTGATGTTATGCAGTAAATATTGGGCTTCACTGTTAAGATGGTGTTTATGTTGATGTTGAGAGGGTGTTGGTCGTCAATGTTGAGAAGGCGTTTGGCAAAGATGAGATGTCAGACGTCGATATGAGATGACATCATGTAAAGACAGTGTCAGCCTTTGATATGATGAACGTTTTAAAATGCTGATATTGTAACGATGTCAGACGTCGATATTGAGATGACATCAGACATTACTGTGAAATCAAAATTATAACCCCACGAAAGATAAATGAAAAGAAGAATATTTGATGAATGATGTATTAACTGCGAGCAATTGATTTGTTGTTGTGAATAGGAAATAAGAAAGTTAATTTTTATATTTTAAATAAGTAAAAAAATTTAAATACAAGAAATTATACTTTTAAAAATCATAAAATATTTAAGATACGCATCTCCAATTTGAATTTAATATTTTTTTAATCAGACACGTTTTCAGCGTGTTCTACACTTGTCGGAGGAGTGTCGGACGCGTGTCGTGTCAGATACGTACGTTTCGTACACTGCACGCATCTTTGAGAAGAAGTATCGGTGCATCATAACTTTTAAAGTGGTTTTGGTAAGAGATTTATGCCTTTTATGCAAATAATAGAACACAGATGAGAAGGATGAAATAATAGGTAGTGTACAGGTTGAGGAGAACATCCGCAAGCAAAAAATAAATTTTTTTGTCGGCTACAGCTACTAAGGGTGGGATGCCAGTTGGAGCCGGAGGCATTCATTAACATATCTCTGTTGCTATAAGTGGTGGTTGAATGAACTTAATACCAGTGAAGGTTGAGATTTCTCAATCAATCACTATGAGTAGGTCTCTATGGCTGCTACGAAGGATTCAAGTGTCATCGAAGGGAGAAATTATTGTGTGCGAAATCAGAATGCGTTCAAATTTCAATTACAGCTTGCCACATCAACTGATGCACTCTGGGGCCCAATGCATCCAGTGACGTGGCGCATGGTGATTGGAATCCGAATGCATTCGGATTCCGCACACAATAACTTCTCCATCGAAGGAAAACTCAAGCAACGCATTCTATGAAACTCATTAATGGAGTCTTCAATCAGGGATAGAATCAATCTCAAATTTAAAGGTGAGCAAAATTTTCATATAAATGAATTAATATTAAAAAAAATGATCACATAATTCAAATCAAAATTTTATATTTTATTATGATTGATAAATTAGAAAATAAAAACAAGCTTATCAATCTATCTTATATTTTTTTTGATAATGTTACATTATAACTTCATTAGAATTTGGAAATCAAATCAAACACATTTATTTCAATGTAAGGTCTCCTTAAAGAAAATATTCTTCTCTCTACTGTATCATTAACAACTAATAAAGTTAATGTTAAACTAATAAATCTATAAAAATTATAGCTATTTTGTATAATTTTCTATTTTAAACAAAGTTTTAAAAAAATTTCAACGGTCTTATATAACTTGCATAAATTTTTTTTAAAAAATATTTTTTTATTTAGGCAAAATAGAGTTAACGATGGCGGATGAATTATCTAAAATATTATTACTAAAATTAATTTAGCAAGCATAGATCCACCCATCTTATAACTAATTAGGCACGGTTAGCGAGAGAAATTATTATGTGCGGAATTCGGATACATCCGGACTTCAATAAAAACACAACTTGTATCCTTATACACCGTGTGTTTGTACACAACTGTAAACACTATGCACAAATTATAAAATTATGTACATAATATATATAAACTTATATACATAATATACATATTATATACACAATATACATATTTATACACACTATGTATAAGGACACGTCATGTTTTTTATTGGAGTCCTCGACACATAATAATTTCTCCTTTAGAGATATAACAACTTAGGCAATAAAAATAGTTTAATATTAATTATAAATAAAAAAACTTAGGCAATAAAAAATTACAAATAATAATAATAATAATACATTTGCTCCACAAACTTCCACAGAGAGAGGAGAGAGAGAGAGAAATTCATATAGAAATGCTATTGGGCACTCCACGGGCAGTGACCCCTGGTCCCGAACTAGGCAGAAGCAACTCATAAGGCAGCACACCTGCACCACACCGATTCCTCTTCCCCGAATCCCCATTCCTCCTGCTAATCTCCTCCTCAATCCTCTCCATCTCCGCCGCAAACTCTTTATACCCTTCCAAAACTTCCTCCTCCGCCGTCCAAGCCGCCTCCCTTATCCCCCCTATATACTCTTCATCCGGCGAATGCGTCGACAACGTATCCACCACCGCCATAAACTTTGTCGCCTGCAAAACATTGGGTATCGCCGACAAAAAAAAACGGTGCGGGTCGGCGATAAAGGTGGCATCTTTATCGTCAGGGAGAAGGCGGCGCATCAAGGGAGGGCGGTTGGGAACGTAGCCGCCGAGAGGGTATTGGCCGAAGTTCAGGGCGGCGTGTTGGGCGGAGGAGAGCCATATGAGGGTGGTGAGGATGGAGGAGAGGTCGGTGGGGGTGGAGAGAGGCGGCCACCAATGGGAGTGGCGGAGGTCGGCGTGGCCGGAATTGATGGATTCGGAGTACCAGGATTGGAGTTCGGTGTCGGAGAGGATGGAGGTGGCGTTAGGATAGTAATGGGTGGTGTAGATGTTGACCCAATGCTCGATGGCGGACCAGATTAGAAGGCCGTCGTTGGCGTAGGGGTAGTCGGGGATGAGGAGACGGAGTCCGTGCGGCTGAGATGAGTCTTCCACGGCTACGCCCCTGCATTTAGGGGATTTTTAGCAGAGAAAACTATGAAATTTGGGGAAAATTCAACATATCTTGTCTAGAATAACTATTTTAAGGGAAACTTAAATAGCTATCGCTAAATTCTATGTATTAAATATCTAACATCAAAATTTTTATATTTATTTATACATTTCTATAAATAAAAATACAAATACAAAATTAACATTAAGGATATTTCCAAAACTGTTACTCACCTTCGTATAAGATCTGCGGGGAGGCCTTCCTGATCGAACCGCCAATGGCGGCGGTAATACTCAGCCGAGATCTCCATACAGAGCGGCCCAGGTGTAAAGCACGCCTCTATAACTCCGCCGGCGTTGATCAAACTCTGCCTAGCGAGGGCATTGATCTCGAGCGTGTACCTCATGTGCGGGTGGAGCAGCCTGAAAATTGGATGCATGGAGCTCAGCCGCCGGTGCGCCGCCAATATAAAAGGTTCAATACAAGCGTGCGTCCTCAGCCAATGATTCACCAGTTGGTGCACCCCGCAGTCATTCGCGCAGACGTGCGCCTTTCCCAGCTGCCACAGCCAGCTCGTCGTAGCATCGCACGGCGGCGTCAGCACGCGGCTGCGCCGCTCGCCTCCCGCGATCTCCGGCGGAAGCGTTAACTCGATCGCCACCGGCCTGAGAGTCCCCAACGGACTTAAAAAGAAGATTGTGCGGGTGGCGTAGGTCTTACGGCCGTCGAGTGCGTTGATACGGTCGACGAACGGGAGGTAGGTGTCGTGGTGGTCGATCATGAAGAGCTTCCCCTCTTCCATTGCCTTCACGAGAAATTTAATTACAAATAGCAGGAATTATAAAATTGGTTTAGGGATGGGGGTGTTGGGTAAATTGATTACCTGGTGGACGGACATGCCGTTGAGGTGGCCGGCGATGTGGGCCTCAGTGAGGGAGGATTCGGGTGGGCCGTAATGGTCCGGATCGAGCTTGCTTACTGGCGGGAAGACCTGTGGTGATGCGTTTGACCATCTGGTTTTTAGCATTCACGAAATATTTTTGGTATCAAAAAACTAAAACACCAATGACGGAAGCCAGGAATTACTTGTACACGCTCGACGTTGATCGGGTTGATACCGGCGACAGCTTGGCGGCCCAGCTCGTCGTCCCGGAGCCACGCGAACTTGTCCTCTGCACATATGAGATCAAGTAAGGTTAGCACAAGCCCCATCCAGTTGATTAAGGATCTGTTTGGGACAGTTTTCGCTGAAACAGCTTGTGATGATGGAACCTTACTGGAGAGAATGCTTGGAGTGTCATATCGAAGTAAGCCATGGCTAGACTCATGGAGCTTCTTGACAAGAGGAATCTTATGGAGAAGATGGCCCTGAATTCCAAGCTTTAAGAGCAGCCCTTCCTTGTAAAGGTTATCGATGTCATGAAAACATTGAAAGTCGTAATCATCAGCAGAAATAGAAGCTATGAGAGAAGGAATCAAGTTGTGAAGCACAGCCTTCAATCTCCCTGCGGAGAAAGCGTCCTGCTTCAGCTCCTCGAATGCTTCGTCTCTAGGCACATAAACTGGATGGGGCTTCTCAATTCTGCTCTCACATAACAGATCTGCAACAAAGCCTCAGCTCTTTATGTTTCTTTAAAGAGTCCTTTCTTCATAAATTTTAAAAAAAAGGTAATTGGCTTGAAGAATTTTATTTTTTAAAAAATATTTCAATATTAGATATAAATATAAAAAATACTAAATTTTCTATTAAAAATTGCCCATTTTAGTTGATACATTATTAAAATTTGATTTCATCTGATACAAATCTCTTGTACATTTAAATTGAAATTTTTTGATATGAACTCCAATTTCACCAAGTTTATAACTAAATTAAATGTATTAATGAGTTGAACTCATTCACAATAAAAGTAATTCAATCCAATTGTAAATGAGCTCAAATAAAAAATTTAAAATATAATTAAAAACTTCAAATTATAACAAAAACAACAAGCCTTTATCTCACTATGTGGGGTCGGCTACATGAATCCTTTTTCTCCTATGTTTTAGGTTAAGAGTCAAATTCTCATCTAAATCTAATAAAAAATGATCATTTTCAATATTTTCTAACAATGACTTTTTTAGGTCTCACTCTACCTTTCTTAACATAAATCAAATCTAATATATCTACTTTTCTAATTAGGTCATCAGAAGGCCATCATTTTATATGACCAAACCATTTAAGGCAACTATTTCTAATCTTATCTTCTACTAGAGCTACTCCAATATTTTCACTTATATGCTCATTTTGTATCTTATGTCCGAAAAACTTCAAATAATAAGATGACAAAAAAATTCTCCAAATCTTACAAGTTAAAAATTAAAATTCAACGTATCGACAATACAAGCCCATTAAGTCCAAAATTGTTTTATTTTGACATAACCTGTCAGGGCTCGACTACAGTTCTACCTACATCTCTATCTCTGGACGAGTGGCTTGACAAAGTTCCTTTAATTATGATATTTCGACCACTATCGTTTAACACTTTAACTGTGATCTTTTGATCACCATCACCACGCTAATATCGTCGAAGCAATGACCTTCTAACCACTAATACACAACTACAGTCCTTTTACCATCGCCATCCGATTGTGATCCTCTGATCATAATAGATCAACTATGGTTCTCTAATCATCATCATTCGACTATAGTCTTATAATCACCACTGCCCAACATTAATCCTCAAACCACTTTGCTTAGCGATTATCCTCCAACCATCATTGTTGACCGCAATGCCCTAACCATCAACAATTGATTATCATCTTGTAACCGTTCTCAATTTATACAACACCATTGTCGCTTGATTACATTAACACCCACTAACTCTATCACTTGTCGCTAGCATTATCTATAGCACCGATGCTTGTCGTCCTCGATAATTTTTTGTCTCTCATTATAAAAGTAGAATGACCAAATATACCATAAATGCCACTTTTATACAACCCCGATATCACTAAGCTATCCTAACTTTTATATAAAATCTATTTTATATAATTTATACCTAATATGCTATATCAACATATTCTCATTTTTTTTCAAGCAAAATTTTTTATCTTTCTTATTATTTTTTATTTATATGTTAAATTTGCATACAAAATTAAGATACTAAACATTTTTTTTCTTTATGGTCTCAAACCTTCGTACAAAACAATGATAAACATTAGTTAAATTATACATTATAATTTTGTTATTTCATCTGCAGTAATAAAATCACTCAATATTTAATGGATAAACTTAAATGTGCAGTCATTAAGCAAAATATTTATATTGCACAGCATTTTTTTATATTTTCAAATAAAATAACATAAAGTATATTAAAAATAGGCAGCTAAAATTTAAAAAACAGTCCCAAATAAAATTAGAAAAGCTAAGAATCCCAATCAACTTCCTACCAATTCTTTCATTGACTCATACAAAAAATGAATCCAAACAAAATCCGATCGCTTTCTTCTTTCAAAAGTGCAATCAAAATTGGAACTTGAAATATCGGATGAGAAAAAGAAACTAACTTGTATCCGTTGGCGGCCGGCCGGTACGGCACCGGCGAGGATACGGCAACTTCTCGCCGCCGAGGTTTGGCCTGGTGAGCTCCTTCCCTTTGTCAGGATTTCCCAAATCATTGTATATGTCATAATCGTAAATCCGATCGGATATTCTCCGAAGCCCTTTTCCATCTCCCCTCAGCTCCATCAACTCCTTCTCCCTCAACTCCTTGAGACCCTCCGGCGTCTCCCATGGCAGATAAGACTGCAAAACAGTACCAAAATTTCATTTTGACAATTCTAAAAGAAAAAAGTTTAATTTTGAAGCTTTACCTTGTTGCTGAAGAAGACGCGCTTGGAAGGGAGGTTCTTGGTTGACTGCACCCAAGAGTTGCAGAGGAAGTGGACGACGCCGGAGGCGAATCCTTCAACGACGATGCTCTCTAAGAAGAACTCGCGCTGGTGTCGATTGGCCACAGCGACGGCGCCGGGCTCGCCGAAGCCAGAGTCCACCGTGAAATCCACCGTGTAGACCGCTCGCTCTCCTTTAACCTTCATCTTCTCGTACCAGTCCTTGATCACTGCCTCCCCACTCTTCTTCGGCGCCTTTGTTTCTGAGATCAAGCAAATATCCATAAAAAAATATTGAGAGAGAGAGAGAGAGAGAGAGAGAGAGAGAGAGAGAGAGAGAGAAGCATAAGTGAAACATAACTTACTGCTATTACTCTCTGTGCTTATGAGTTCCAAAACCACATTTCTTCCGATCTTATCGGACAGAGCATCGAGCTGGTTAGCGACGGCGTCTCGGAAATCCTCCTTACTCTTTCTTCTCACCGTAACCACCGCTCTCACCTTGATCTTCGCCGGCTTTCCCACCACCAAACTCAACACCTCCTCGCTTATCGTAGCGACCGCTGGCCGCATAACCCTCAAAGAACGGGACGGAAGCCTCCCCTGTTTCGCTGGAAACAGAACAGGCATGGAAAAACAGAGGCCGCTTCTCTGTTCCATTTTCAAAATTTTGGGGTCGGGCAGGAGAGAGGACCTGCCAAGAAGAGAAGAATGACCGGCGACTTCGCCGGCGACAGCCATGTTTAGAGAGACTTTGGAGATCTTCGAATATAGGGGGCAGAGAAAAGAGGGAACCTCTGTAGGCTCTGCTGGATTTTTCTTCAGAATCTTTTGGATCTGCGCTCAATTGGTGGCTAGTGAAACTTGAAAGAGCAGATTTTTATCAAAGGGGAGAATTAGTGAAGTCAATGTTTAGGGTTTCGCCATTTCTGGTCAGGCAAATGGTTTTTGGTCTAATCTGTTTTTGCTTTGAGCACGTACGTAGAGCTTATGGTGGCACGCGAGGCATCATCTTGGTAGTGGCAGCTTTAGTTGTGGCCATAAAGTTTGACAAATAAAAGAATAAAAATGATTGAATATTATTTATTTATTTATTTTGGTACTAATATTAATAAGAAATATAAAAATTCAATTACATCACGTGGTAGGAGATTTATTTAGGACAAAAAATAATGTAAGATATCTTCATTTTTTATTTCAGTATGAGATTATTTTAGTTACACAATTCTCCAGTTTTATATTATCAAATATTTTAATAAAATTAATTAAATTATAATAAAAATGTTTTTTAAAATATTTAATAATTTAATTATATTTATCTTTTAAATTTAATTATTTTATCTAATAATTTAGATGTATTTGAGAGATAATCTACATTTTTTGGATCATAGAAAATATAAAAATAGCATGTAAAATTAAAGATACATTTTTTGTGGGAAAAATTAAAGATAGTTGCCTCCGACCTCCACTGATATATATTTGGTCTTGATTTATAATTTCTTCTATGCCTTCCAACCATTCTTGTGAGGGAACCTCGTCCACGTTTCTTCAACCACGAATTGTTGCTCTATTTTTCATCTCATTTTCTTTGCCTTCCAATAACTTGTCACCAATTCTCTAGTGCAAACATAAAAAATCTCCTACAAACCACCACATCATTCTGTTCATATTATTTAATCATATTGTCGCTAGATGCATCGAGAGCGACTCTTGAACTTGCACTTCCGTCCTTGCAGCCACCAGCGATCATAGTTTCTTCCTTGATCCAACGACCGCCATTTGATGCTGGTTTTCTGCCTGACCACCGAACATCATCGAGCTTTCATCTGATTTTTGTTCGTCACTAGATTTCAACCCGACGTTGATTGTTGTGATTTGATCGCTCTTAATTTGCAGGACGAAATCATGCACTTGTAATCTATTCATATACAAGTGGAATAATTTCAATTAGTCGTGACTTCATGATTTTTCACTTTTTTAGGATTTGCTATGTAAAAATATTCTATTCTTTGTTTGTGTGCTGAATATGAATATATGTACAATATTGAGAGGTAAAATTCTAAATCACAACAGTGCGTATATTTTAGCCCGTAATAGGTCTAATTAATTAATAATTATATTATATTATCTCATGATAAATTTAATGAATTTTTAATTATCAATATTTATAATTTTAAAATATTTTTTTGCAAAGGCATTAGCTTTTAGTGATTTATATAATAGATTAGATACTAAAGAGGGAGAAAGATATATGTATAAGTTAGCCAAACAAAGAGATAGGAGTAGTAAGGATTTAGTTCAAGTGAAGTGTATTAAAGATGAAGATCAAAAAATACTTTTCTTAGAAGATGATATTCAACAAAGATGGATGAGATATTTTGCTAAACTTTTTAATGAAGATTCTGATAATAAGATTGACTATAGTGACCTTAGCACCCTAGATGAAAATAAAGATTTATATTTTTATCGACGTATTAGTAAAACTGAAGTTAGAGAGGCTTTAAAAAAAATGAAGGGTGGAAAAGCTGTTGAACCTGATGATATT